TGAACACACCCTTGATGACTAGTATGTGACCTAACTGAGTGCCCTGAGGAAGAAGTTTGGGGGTGATTTGGGAATGGCTCTTTTCCAGGGCTCTCTCCCTGTCTCCAGCTGCATACTAACACGAGTTCACTGTACACACTGGTACTGGGTACTGTCTTCCAGAACCTTGCCTCTCTTTCCCTCTTCACTTGTGGTCTTGACCGTGCAAGAATTACTTCTGAGACATCGAAAGCCGGGCATCTCCTCCGGGCATCATGACTACCATCAACTGCCTCACTCACAATGCTTCACTCATGGGCAGCAGGGAGAAAGCCATTTGGGGAGGTCGACCCAGTTTAGAATTCAAATTTACTCTCTGCCTCTGCAATTAGAATTTATTTCCTCTTCAAAAGACTTGAATTTCAGAGCACAATGCCTCTAGCCAGGCCTGGGTGTGTGGAGAGTGATCCTAATGGAGAGAAATTCTGGTTTATTTTCATAACAGCATGTACCTTGTGATATCCTCCGAGCCTGACATTATTAAGAGAGTGTTACCACAATGCAGCACAAATCTAAGGCAATTTGGATGTCCTTGGGCCCAGAATTAATATGTGCTTTGTATAGTCTTGTAATTTGGGAGGCAATTTTCCATAACACACCGAGAGATGCTCCTTTATACCTTTGAGATAATTTAGCTCAATGTTCATTTGGAAAAATTACTGTGCTAATAGCTCTCCAGCCCCTGAACAACAGATCATACTGGGAAAGTCTGGACAAAGGCTGGAGGAATTTTCCCTGGACCAGCTGCCTGGGGTTGCATGGCCGGATCTGAAATAGTGTATGAACTCATGAACTCTGGCTGATTGGTTTAAAACCAATAGCTCTTAATAGAGAGATGCAGAATAAAGGTGGGGGGTGATAATGAATCTCTCTATTGCCCAGGTAAATCTGATGTCAGTGCACATGAATTAGAACTTCTATATGCTCAACTATGAGAACCATTTGTTTTCCTAGCTGGACCTCTCCGGCCAGGCTATGAGGGAACAGGTGCAAATGAGGGCGTGTCTTGTCCTATGCTTCCTGGGTATCATGCACTAGAGACCCGTGTTGTTGTAGGAGTCCTCTATTCTTACCGGAATTTAGTGCAATGATGAAAAGAAATTAACTTTTTTCCCCCATAATCAAGAATACAGTTTCTAATGATGCTGCTTTGGGAGACCACAGGAAAGGACTTGGTAGACCCGAGTTCACTTCTGGTTATGTTATTGCCCTTGGCACTTGCTTCCCTGTGAGTTGGAAGCAAGCTGGGGTTGCCTTTGGTTTCCCTGAGAGCATCAAGATCCCATCTTGGGTTAGAGACTCTGAACTCCTCCATCAGCAGAAGACCCTGGGTGTGTTCCATCAATGTTGACATTAGGTAAATGTCTGACTTCACGAAGGGGAGAGAGGGTTATAACCCCTTTCCATTTTCTATGCATCTGTAGTTGGCATTTGAAAATCTAACCAGGGTCTGGATGAGAATGGTTTGGTTTTCTTGGAAGCCTGATTTTGCTTCAGAATCACACGGAATCTGGACCCAGGTTAAGATCTCCTGATTTTCTTGAACCATACTATTCTGGGAAAAAAAAAACAAAAAATTAAACAACAACAACAACAACAAAAAGAACACTTGATGATTTCCCATTTTAAACACCACCATGCGCTCGGATGCTGTTTGTGCTCAGGACCGCAGTGGGAGCAGACTCGCACATGTGTGCATCTCCGTGAAAGGTAAGAGTACAAAGCACCCTTTGTGGCTAGCCTAGTACCTCCAGCCAGGACATAGCTGCTCCTGACCTCTGGAGATGGCACATACCAGATAAGCAGAACCTAACCACACCCTGGATGGAAATAATAGGGATGTAAAGGTGATGTTTTGAAAGCTTTCATGAAGACCATCTCTGCTGGTAAACATTACGTTCCCAAGTTCTGTCTTGTCTGTTGGCAGAAGAAAAGGAACAGAGCCCCGTTGTCCCTTCACAAGCATATGACAGTCCTACTGTGGACCACCACTACACTAATATTTATTTCAAGGTAACTTCTGCACTTAGACTAGTCTCCCCTTCCTCCCCATATTGGGGGATGAACACCAGGCCTTGCACATTCTGGGTGGGCATATGGGTTGAACACACAGGCCTTGCACATACTGGGTGTGCATATGGGTTGAACACCAGACCTTGCACATATGGGGTGGGCATATGGGTTGAACACACAGGCCTTGCACATACTGGGTGGGCATATGGGTTGAACACACAGGCCTTGCACATACTGGGTGGGCATATGGGTTGAACACACAGGCCTTGCACATACTGGGTGTGCATATGTGTTGAACACCAGACCTTACACATATGGGGTGGGCATATGGGTTGAACACCAGACCTTTCACATACTGGGTAGGATATGGGTTGAACACACAGGTCTTGTACATACTGGGTAGGCATATGGGTTGAACACCAGGCCTTGCACATACTGAGTGGGCATATGGGTCGAACACCAGGCCTTGCACATACAGGGTGGGCATATGGGTTGAACACCAGGCCTTGCACATATGGGGTGGGCATATGGGTTGAACACCAGACCTTGCACATACGGGGTGGGCAATGCTTTGCCACTGTGCTAGGTTCCCAGCCCTTTATTTAAAATTTTATTTAGAGACAGAATCTCACTAACTTGCCGCTGCTGGCCTTGAACTCACTCTGTAACTCAAGCAGTCCTTGGATTTGGAATTCTCCTATGTCAGTCTCCTAAGAAGCTGGGATTACAGGCCTTATCACTAGGCCTCACTAGGCTAGTGGTTCATAACTTTCACAATACATCAGACCCACTAAAGGGGCCCTTTCTTTACTTTTTGTGGTATCAGGGATCAAATCCAGGTCTCTATACATGTTAGCTAAGTACTCTACTACTGAGCTACATCCCTAGCCCACACTCACGCAGCTTTAAAATACTCAGGTCCCATCCAGAGAGATTTTAACTCAACTGTCTCTTACATGACTTGCTCTGATTTGTGTTTTAATGTGGGAATCACTGACTGAAGTCATCTTTTGAGTCAACATCAAAAGACAAAATGAGCTGGGTGGTGGTGGTGCACGCCTTTAATCTCAGCACTCCAGAGGCAGAGCCAGGTGGATCTCTGTGAGTTCGAGGCCAGCCTGGTCTACAGAGCGAGATCCAGGACAGGCAACAAAACTACACAGAGAAATCCTGTCTCAAAAAAAAAAGAACACAAGGGGATACTGGGCATTCAGGAGGCAGAGCCAAGCAGAGTTAGAGGCCAGCCTGGTCTACAAAGTGAGTTCTAGGACAGCCAGAGGTATTATACAGAGAAACCCTGACTCGACAAAACAAAACAAAAGAACACAAGGGAGAACCAAATCATGCCTTTTGAGTGTGGAGGAGACAGGCAAGATGTTGGTTGTCTTCTAGCCTCTGCTGGCATGGGCACCCTCCCTCTCAAAGTGCCCAAGCATTCTTGGGTTCTTCTGACACAGGGTCCTCCAACTGCGATCAGTTGAGTACGGACGGGCTCCGGCTTCATTATGTGTCTAGTTTCATCATAAAGTGAAACATTAACTCGTTTCCTTCTCTTATGGATTGTGGCAGGTCTGGTGTGAGGATGAAGTCCAGTCACTCCTGGAGCAGAGTGTGGGCTGGGCTGGTTTCCTGTGTGGACAGGCAGGGCAGGGCTTGGATTGGGTGTGTCTAGGGAGAAAGGCTCAGGGTTCACCCTTGGCAAATGTTTAGCCCGAAATGCCTTTGCTAGTCTCTTTTCAATGTCCTTCTTTGGGAAAGTGAGTCTCAATGGTGCTTTGGAAAGACTCCAAGGAGACAGTTGTTGCACCCTCGGGCCTTTCTGGCAGAGGGGCAAGGGCCAGCCCAGGCAGAAGGCAGTTGCCTATTTTTAATTAAACTCTCAACTCTCAGAGGCTACTTGGGAGCAGACACCTGCTCTTTATTTTCTTTTTCTTTTTTTGAGACAGAGTCTATCTATGTAGCCCTGGCTGTCCTGGAATGGGTTAAGTAGACCAGGTTGGCCTTGAACTCACAGAGAGTAGTCTGCCTCTAAATCCTGAGTGCTGAGATTAAAAGCGTGCGCCACCATGCCCAGATCTTTATTTTCTTATCCTGAGTGTGGCCCTCAGCCACAGTCTTTTCCTCATGCTGACTGACTGGCACTTGCCCTTTTTATATGGAGTAAGCCGGGGCAGGGCTATGAGAGGGCCTGGGGAAGGACATTCAGCACATCACCTCTGGACATTCGTCTTAGAACGGCTTTGATTTAGCTAAGAAAGCCCACCACAGGCCATTGCATCTTTCACAGGTTATACCATTGTCCTGTCTAGTTTTTATTGTCAACTTGCCACAGCCAAGAGGCACCTGGGGTGGGAGCCTCACTTGTGAAACTGCCTAGATTGTGCCTAGATAGACTGGCCTGTAAAGTCCTTCCTCCCCAAGAAGCCTCTGTCATGGTGTTTAGCACACATCAACAGACAGCAAACTTGAACAGTATTTTCTGTGAACAGAAAAGGCTGAGAACACTACAGAGTTCTAAACTCAGATGTAAGAGGTATTTTAAAACAATAGTGGGTGGGGCTGGAGAGATGACTCAGCAATTGAGGGCCCTTGCTGTTCTTCCAGAGGACCCAGGTTCGGATCCCAGGAACCGCATGGTGGCTCACAACCATCTGTAAACCCAGTCCTAGGCGATCCAATGCCCTCTTTGGAACTCCATGGACACCGTGCATGAATGCAGTACACAAACATAGAAGCAAAACACTCACAGACATAAGATAAAATAAAAAAGCTTTATCTCCCCCTCCCCATAGTAAATAGCCTACTTTCAATAGACCTCAAATCTTTTTTTTTTTTTTTTGATTTGGCATTAATGTCAAAGTCTCACCTCCCCCTTTCCCAAAACAAAACAAAACAAAACAAAAAACCCCCAAACTCCAGTATTTTAATAAGTCGAACATTAGAGAAAGTACTTTCATTGTTGTTTATTGAGAGAGAGAACTTTATACAATTTGGAATGGGTGCACTTAAATTATGTGACAGATACCTGTAAACAATGAGATGTCCCGTTAACAGCACAACTTCACTTTTACATTATTACAGTTACTATCTTAAAAAAATAATGTAAACAAAAATATGGATAAATTAACCAAAAACAAAAGGCAATAAAGCCCAGACAACAAAGAACACACGAATTAGCACATTAGCTATTACAAATAACTAACACGGAGTGAGGACCCGCTCAGATGCCAAATCCTAATTGATTCTGTACCGCATGAGCAGAAACAAGGGGAAATGATGCGGATCTGATCCAGGAGCCCGAGAACACGCTGTACGGAAACCTTCCGCATCACCACACTCCTGTTCCTCACCTGCAGCCTTGGCATTCTCCTCTTTTACCATTCCCTAGAGACAGCGGATAACTCTTTACACTAGGAAGCCTGACAGGCGACCAAAGGCGGAACACTCCCACAGGAAAGCCTGCTTCCGTGGCTCCTGTGGACTCCCCAGGCTGCACATAGAGGACACCATCATCAACATGCACCCCAGAGGCTTCCCACTTCCCATGTGGGACACAGGAGGCAAAACCGAAAATCTTTCTACAGTAAAAGAAAAAAAAAATCTTTGTGTTGGTGTCACTTTTGAACTTAATAAACACCAAGGTGGTAGACTTTACAGATTCGGTTCTGGGTAGCTAGCGTCTTTCTTGACCCTGGTGACATGACATTCCCCTGAGTTTGGTTAATGAAAAGCAAGCAGAGAGTGGCCGGGAAACATAAAATACGGTCAAAACATCGTATGGTTATGTCTTTTGTACTTCCTGGTAAAAGTGCCAGCGGCGGCGTGGAGGAAACCGATGTGACACTCGAAGAGCGCGTGTGCGATGTGAATCCCTTTACTTGTGAAGTTAAGGCACCAGGTTCAGCAAGGGTGCAGTGAGCACTGAAGAGCAGCCGGCCGGAAGAGCGAAGGGATCCGTGGGTAGTTAGCTGAAGGGTCCTGGAGGCTTCCAGTGGGTCAGACTACTTACACTAGACTATAAGGCACTCCTACCGGGACACGGACAGTGAGGGAGGAGCCGTCGGGCAGCTCTCTGCTAGGTGCTTTGTTAGCAAGAGGCCCCCGTCTGGACCGGGGCTGAGGATGAAGGGCGGTAGAGTCAAGGGAGGGGACAGGGTTGGTCTTCCATGGCTAGCTAGAGGGACCCAACTGTGGAAAAGCCGCTGCAGTTGTCTTAGTCATTTGGCCTGCTAAATAACTGGCTTTCTGAAAAAGATGAGCAGTCAGTGGCCTCTTCCCTCAGAGAGAGATTCCGGCACAGGAACCAGTGTTCCACTCGCCAGCGCTTCCCATCACACCAGAGCCGACACTATGAAGCCGGGGCTCGGTGCCATGATCACCAGGAGCCCATCTTAAGAAAACCTCTGACAGGTGCAGTCAGGCTGGGGGATATCCCATGCTTTCTCTTTGATTTTTTTTTTTAACCGAGTTTTATAGTGGTGTGGAGTTTTTAAATCTCAGCCCTGCACCCACTAAAACGTACCAGAAAGGAATTCTTGAGTCAGAGAGTACTGAGTCCAAAGGAAGGACAGAGCTGTCTACAGAAAGGGACTGGTGGGTGCTGAGACTTAACTGTCAAGACCGCTGTCCCTGTGACAGAGATCAGCATGGGTTAGGTTAGCCGAGGGGGTTCTTCACGTCAATTGTAACCTGGGGTCAGGCAGCGGGAAAGGGGCAGGGCAGTGACCCAAGCTCCAAACGCCCACCATCAACAAGTCGGCACCAAGAGAGGATAAGGAGAAAGGTCGGTGGTCCAGCCATGCCATGGAGGGCAGTGCCAGCTTTTTCCCGTTGTCTCAAATTCCTGACTTCTCCACATTATTTCAGAAGATGAAAAGTAGTGTAGAAAACTCCCCACATAAAGCTGCACACATCTCCATTTACCATGAGAAAAAAAAAACAAAACAAAATAAAATCAAGTCTGTGTTGGAACCAGGCAGCATTCCAACAAAGGGTCAAAGATTAGTTCTTAATCTAGCGATTCCAATAAAGCCTGGGAGGTGACAGAGAGCTAATCTGCAGGGTGAAAGGCTGGGCTCTCCCCAGAACGAACAGCAGCACGTGTCTCCACTTCCTGGATGGCAGCGGTCTGTGGAGTCGGTGCTCAGTGTGTGTGGCATCACTGTGGTCCTGCTCTCACAGGTACTTTGTGTCTGGTGTTTTTTGGCCCACAGAAAGAGAATGGACTTGCAGGACTGGAAGCCGAGCCTCCTGAGGGAGGTGCAGAAAGAAACCCATGGGTGGTCACATTCAGTGCGCACACGTGACAAGCAGCCATGAGGCCAGACCTCACCAGAGGGTGCCCTGCAACTTAGCCACAGTGACGGCGTGACAGAGACACTTTTGTTTGGGGGCAGCTGAGGGGAGTCAACCCTGGGCTATCTCAGGACTGTAGTAGAACCTGCAAATCGCACTGTAGTCATAGTTTCTTTTTTTTTTATTGGTAGAGGCCGATTATAGAAGAATTAAGAAGTGGTTCCCTCTCAGCTCATCAAATGCGAAATCCAAAGACAGCCCTTATTCAGCACATACAGTTAGGGGGAAGCAGAGGGTTTCCATGGTCTTCCTATCCAGCTGCTTTCGACTTTGGGAACAGGCAGCCCTGGAAAGAACTGGCTCCCATTGCAGCTGACTGCCTCTGGAGCACTCTGCGGCCTTCCTTCTCACTGTAGTGCAGACCCAGGTCTATTTTAGGAACTGGCTTCCTGACGCTGAGGTTGGGTGCCAACACTTCCCCCAGGCTGGATGCTGTCACACAGGAGTTTCTGGCATGAGCAGGAGGGAATTCTTGTGCTACAACCAGGGAATGGGCTGTTTAGTGAAAAGCAGTTCCCCGGACTCCACAGCCAGCTCCAGGAGATTAACGGGCCGTTTTCCATTATGCTTTAACGTGTACGATATTTACTGAGACAAAATAAGGAGGTGGAAATCCACAGGCTTGCTTTTGTTTCGGTGGTTTCTAAGCAGTAGAACAATTACCTAACACTGCACCAAGTAATTTGTTAGACCTCAAAACAGTAAGGGCCTTCATGCACTCTATAGCATTCTGGGCCGAAAATAGCAATTTTGAATTTTCATGGTAGACCCAACTCCTAAACTGGCTCCACTGTGTCCTATCAGATTTGGGTGGTGGTGGCAGAGATGGCTGTTGCCAGCCCAGGGCTGGCATGGACCAGGCTACCAGAGATATACAAGAGAGAAAACAGAAGCGGCGGCGGCGGCGGCGGCGGCGGCGGCGGCGGCGGCGGGGACATGGCTCCAGTTCCAGATCATTGATGACAGTGCATTTACCTTTTTCCCCTTTAAAAAAGTAAGCAAAAAGCAATGTCTGGGCAAAGTTCTTAGGAGCTCCCAAGGTCTGCTCACACACACACAGCAGGGCCCTCTAAGGGGACACTGGGGACAACTCAGGTGTCTAGAGCAGGGATTCAGATTTCACCCTTGACTTTGAGCAGGTCTGACCTTGGGTACCTGTGAGTTCTGTACACAGGGCAAACCTGCGTGTGTGTGTGTGTGTGTGTGTGTGTGTGTGCGCGTGTGTGTGTGTGCGCGTGTGTGTGTGTTCGTGCGCATGTGTGTGTGTTCGTGCGTGTGTGTGCGTGTGTTCAGGTCTCCATGCTCAGGGTGCTGGGAACAGCCTCCCTGACAGTCAGAATCACAGATACATGAATTACAGCAAAGTCAGTCTAAGCGGCAGTGACAGGGACTTGGGGGTGGAGAGAGAAGGCACCGTGCCACGGGAGCACATCTGTTTCCTAATAAGCAGGTCTATAATTCTCCCGTGAAAGATCCTGTTCTGCTCTCTTCTCCGAGGCTGGAAAGTATAAATACTGTATTTCACGCAGGGGAGGAGGAAGGGAGATTCTCAAGTTTGTTTGCCTATTTGCCAAGTGTTGGAGACTGCCCACCCTTGCCTTTTGTGCGCAACATTCCCTACCACTCCAGTGAGGGGGCGTCAACCTTTTCCAAGAGTTTAAAAAAGGCACCGGGAGGTGTCTGGTAAATGGGGCCCTGGCCTTTTACCAAGTTTCATGCCTTGGTTATAGCTTCCAGGTAGCCAGGAAATAAACGCATGTGTAGCGCTGAACTTCGTGGTCGGGGGCCAAAGGAAACGGTGTGGGCTGAGGGGTGGAATGCTCACCCCTAGCCGCACAAGTCCGCTGACAGTCTCCCAGTGGACAGAGCGTCAAGAGCAGGTGCCTGCAGGGATGGGCATGGAGAGGAAAGGGACGCATGCTTGGTGAGCCAGCGTCCCCCCAGATCTGAGGAGCAGGGACGATCCCGAAAGGGGAAGGAGGGAAGCACGGCAGCATCAGCTCAGCGTGAAAGACAGACGAACGAGTTACTTCCTGTTAAGGCAGCAGGAACGAACGCGGGCCATCGGTTCCCAGCGCCGACCCACCAGCCATCTTGGTCACAGTGATAACTACACAGGCTCTTAGGAGGGGACCGCAGGGGGAGGATGCTACCCTCCAAAGGGCGAAGCGATTCACTTCTCGCTCCTACGACAGTGTTTACTTTTTTGTTACTGTAAGGTAGCAATTATGTATGTCTATATCTACTTATTTCAATAATGTTAAATTCATGAATTCTATTTACGTTTGGTATTTTCTTAATAATTTAGGTTGATATTTTTCAAAATGTTACTCTTTAATAATTGTATAACTTTTAAGTGTAAATAATTTTTTTAAATAATTAAAAACTAGTAAAGCCAGGGCAGGTATGTTGGCGCACACCCGTAATCCCAGCATCTGGAGGATGAGGCAGCAGGATCACAAGTTTGAGGCCAGCCAGGGATATACAGCCAGCCCCTTTCTTAAAAGACCCCCCATCCCAAACAAACAGAACACCCAGGATACAAAAGCAAGAGGCGTCTCATGGACTGGTGAAGGGTCAAAAGTGCTCCGAAGGACAATGAGAAACACAACATTCAAAATGACAGGTGGGCACTGCCCATGCAGGACTCCAGGAGAGAAAACATCGTGTCCCCCAAGATGTGTGTGGTGTGCGCCTAGCAGTCTATGCACGGATATGCTTGAGGACAATCCTGGGACATTCCCTCCCGGCCCGCACTATGAAAAAGATAACAAACATCCTCCACACCATGCTTGGAAACCTGTTCTTAGGATGTCTGTGCCCACTCTGGCAGGTACCATCAGGCAGTTGCTGGGCTTCGTACCAGCAAACAGATGGAGGACATGCAGTGACTGGCCACCGAGGGCCTTCTGTAGTCACTTTCAGGGATTAATTTCAAACCCAGGGCAGCTCTGCTCCTCGTGTTTTCTGTCGGAGGGAGGGACCCTCTGGGTTTCTGCTGTGCAGCTCTGCTTCATTGTTCCAGTCTCTGCCAAGGACTCCGGCGCCTGGAAGGATCCAGAAGCACCGTGTTTTGTAGATTTCCATGTGCAGCAGATGACAGTGGTCTCCACCTTGGTTTCTCTAGCAAAGGCTAAAACTCAGCGACAACCCCGAGCTTAGCCGTGGGAGATGCTTCTTCTGATGCCTGTGCGGTAGCCCAGCCCTTAGAGCCGGTGTGAGTATAGGGGTCTGAACTACAGAGCAATGTGTGTAAACCACAGTTGCCGGGAGCAAGCAGCTGAATTTCATGGCCAAGTGTAACCCAGCTATCTGGTAGGAGTTCAGCCGCAGGATCTCTGTGGACCTCTTGGACAGTGGGTTATACAAAGCATACGTACAGGACGTATAGGTGTGTATAATATAAATAAATAACTTAGATATCTACATCTAGCTGAAGAAGAAACAGCCTCATCTGCACGGGCCTGAGTGGCCCCTCCGGCGGTGGTGGGTGAGAGCAGCCTGGCCTGCAGTCAGGTGTTCTGGTAGGACAGCTCGAACATGGTGCACGCCTCCTCCAGGCTTTCGTCCACGTTCAGCTGGCGCCAGAAGGACTTCTGCTTCTTCTGCAGCTCCCGGCGGACACACCGCGGGCAGGGGACGGACTTCTCTTTGCACTCGGAATGGAAGACGGCGCCACAGCTCTCACACCTGCAAGAACCAAGCATGGGGACGGTTGGCAAGACAGCGGAGCACAGCAGCCCTGGGGGGCCTCGGGGAAGCTGGGGGCACTGCCTGGACATCTCCGTCCCTGGGAAGAGGCGTAACTGAGAGACGCGGGCTGCGTCCGTTTCCAAAGGGCTCCGTGTGAAGTTCCACTAGTGACACAGCTCTCCTGTGATCAGAGCCAGCCTCAGGAGACACTGGCTGGGGTGAAGGGGAGTCAACATTGACCCAGCGACTCTGCTAACAGTGACAAGGGGCAGCGGCGGAGGGAGGCTGCATAGGCCAGCTTCCTCTCCACAAAGAAAGAAGAGGAGGCTGAATGACAGGAAATGCGGCCTGCTGCCTGGGCTGCAGGAGCCCTCAGCAGGCCGAGGCAGCCTTGCACTGTAAGCCGGGGCACAGCTGTCTACCTCAGCCCTCTTAACTCACGGCCTTTATGGGACAGTTTGGGAAGGCGCAATGGCCCCTTTTCATCCATCTGAATGATGTCCCGGGGCCTTTTACTCTGTGTGCTTTTTAAAATTAGGAGCACGCTCCCACCTTTCCAGGTCTACCTGTGTGACCTAAGTGTGAACAAGGAAGAGTCAAAGAGTGCGCAAGAAAACATGTTCTCACCACCAGGGCCGATCGGGCGGTTTATGGAGAGGAGACATTCCCGGTGGATGACGAGCTGCTTGTCTGGCCTGCTGGAGTCTGCACAGGAGTCTGCCTCTGTAGCTTGTTTTCACTGTGAAGTTCTCAGTAATGACTAATGACCTTGGCTGCTCCAGCCAATGACCCGCTCATGTGCCCGGAGCTCTCATCCTGCCACACATGAGCTCTGAAAGGAGACTTTCTCCTCACCCCGGGAGCTGCCTACAGGATCTTATCCACCCCTGGACTGCTATCATGTGCGGCTGTCTTCAGGGATCACCCTGGGCCTGTCTTGGTTACAGGGTGTCTTGGGACACCATCCCCGAAGGTGCCAATGTCTTACCTCCAGCACCATCGTGCAGGACTCAGTGGCTAGGCCCAAGGAGGATCTTCCCACCAACCCAGCCACGCCCTGGAGAAGAGGCAGTGACTTGGAAATTGTTGGGAAGGGGTCTGGTGAAGAGCTGGCCAACAGAGGCTGCCTACCGCTGAGCAGTACCTGCTCCCAGCTGAACTCACTGTCTGAGGGGACAGTGGCTATTAAGATAACAGAGGAGGAACTGCACATTGCTTCTCTATCCCTGACTTGTGTCCCCCTGGAGTTCCCATAAAGAAGTTCAAGCCCCCAAGGTGACGCCCACCGGTGCCAGAGTATTTGGGTAGTACTAGGGAACTAATTAAGGTAAGGGTGTGTCTCCGGTCCAATTGTCCTAGTGTCCTTAACACTTTGAGAAGCAGAGCTTCTCAACATCTTAAAGTCTCTTTTCCCTGTGCACTAGGTGAAGTCATCAGTGAGCCGGTATGAAAACCCTCATCAAAACCAATCCTGCCAGCACCCTGCTCTGCATCGTCCAGCCCCCAGAGCTGTGAGCATCACATCTCTGAACCACCCAGCCTGTGGTATCTGGTATGCTACCCATGCAGACTGGCTGATGCCCTGGAGCTAGTGACCTCACCTGGTGAGCGTCAGTGTCTTCATTGGCTTAGTGGAGATAACATGAGCGGCCATTGCACCAGGACACTGCAGGCTTGAATGAGGTCATGGGTGAAGCGTCTAGCAGCTCCTGGCACAGGATAAGCTCAGGTGCCCCTCAGGCATTTCTGGGAGGCCTCGATGCAGCCTGACTTCTCTGCGTGGCCTGGATATCCACATCAAGCCCCTCATTTCACAGAGCAGAAAAACAAAGCTTCCCAAAGGGCTAGTGATCATCAGGGTGAGCTGGAGATAAGAGTTGGCACTAGACCAGAGCTACTGGCACCAGCCAGAGTTCCCACTGGTGGCCACGGCGCTGGCTGTCTGAGCAGGTATGTACCCTACCAGTGGGGGATGCAGAGTTTTGAGGCAGGATGCCGGCCGGTATCAAGTCACTAATGTCTCTGTAGCTGGGCTATCCTAGGTGGACTGTTAATTTCTTCATAAGTCGGTTTCCTCCTTTCTAGCACTGCTGACCATGACTTCTTCCTAATCATTGGGTTGCCAGGAGACTACAATGAGGGAATAAGGCGGAAGGACCCTGCAAACTGAAGTGATACAGTCTCTTACAGGTGCCTCTGACGCTCGCCTCCTGGACACTGGCTGTGCTGCCCACAGCTGGGTCACCTCTATGCTCGCCCTTCCCCCACCCCTCTGCTCCTGTCAGTCAGGATGAAGGTCAGAGGCAGGTCTCCTGGTGCCTCTGTCTGGGTTAGCTGTGCCCTAGTGGCAGTGGCTTTGTCCCCACTGGGTCACACCTCTGTAAATTCCTATCGTTCAATGACACCAATGGCAGCTTTATCAAATGAGTTTCCTCCAGAGCTGGTCATGGATTTATACACCCAGGGGCGTGGCTCTAAGGCAGTGACTGATAAGGGGAAAACACCCTGCTCCCCACTACCACTCCCTTATCTTGGTTGATACCAGGCCTGCAGTGAGGGAAGAGATTGAGTTTTATCAGATATCTCTGGTGCAAAAAAAAAACACCCACAAGAGGGATGGGGGACTAGCGCACCTGCTTGGCCCAGCCAAAGGTCAATAACTGAAAAGAGTATGAGATAAAGAAATTAATGAGTTCAAAACAGAACCAAGTCTTATTTTCTAACCATTTGGAACCCTGGAGGCATTTTTCAACTGTGGTAATGGAAACATGGATCAATGACTTTCTCAAATTCAGACAATCAGTTGTTCGCTTCCACCTGCCATGCTCCCTGTTTCACTCCAGAGAATAACTGCAAGCACAGTGCACGTGCATGGTGGCACATGCCTTTACTCACGGCACTTGGGAGGCAGAGGCAGGTGGATCTCTGAGTTCGAGGCCAGCATGGTTTATATAGGGACTTCCAGGCCAGCTAGAGTCACACAGTGAGACCCTATCTCAAACAAACAAACAAACAACAACAACAACAAAATGGTAGAAAAAAGAAAAAGAAAAACCTGCTCTTGCAGTCCAAGTGTGACGTGCAGGGAAAGTAAAGCCCCTGTAACAGACAGTTCTGCTCTTCTGGGGCACGGGGCTCTGTTAAAGGGAGGTTGCACTTAGAAAGACGGTTGGCCTCTAGGTGTCAACTGGTCCTTGACTATTTTAAATGTACTCAGGAGGTAAAGTGTGTGCAGCCTCTCCCTCTGTGCTGAGGGCCAGAGTTGACTTCTAGCCCCCATATGGCAGCCCAAGCCTGTAATCCCAGGGGAGGGAGAGACTAGAAGATCTGAGAAGCTCACAGGCCAGCCAGTCCAGACAAACCGGTGAGTACCAGACCATAGTGAGAGACCGTGTCTCAACAACAAAAGTGGATGACTCAGGAATGATCCCTGAGGTTGACCTCTGACCCTCACATGTACCATGGACACATGTGCACCTTCACAGACATTCACTTCTCCACATAAAACAAAAAGAAAGGAAGATTCACCCCACCCAACTTTTCAGCAGCGTGTCCTTTACAGGAGGCCAATCTATCATTGCAATGATCTCTTACTGGAAGGGAAGGGTCCCACATCAGATGACGGCCAGGGTCTTCACGTCTGAATCCCCTCGCCAAGCAACAACTCTCTGGTTGTCGCAGCAATCCACCGAACACGAAGTGTCTTACAGAAAGCGACTTCAGGGACAAGTGTCGGCTACTGACCAAAGGCATACAGAGGATTTCCCATTTCTTCTTCGTATGTGCATCCATTGCCTCAGTAATCTAGGTATCTCAGCCTCAGTGCCACTGACAGTTTGGGGGGCATTTTCTTCGGTGCAAGGGGCTGTCCTGTCCCTGTAGGATGCTTACTTAGTAGCACCCCTGGTCTCAGAGCACCCTCCCCCAACCACTGAGCTGTGACAAGTACCTGTGGGGGTCAAAATAATATCTGCTGAAAACCACTGACCTAATTCATCTTGAAACAAAGTCACAGAGGAGCGCCCAGTGGGTCACATGGCACCCCGCCCTCCTGCCTGCTGGCTTACACTCTTGCCAACCAACAAGGTCCAGCTGAGTGCTCTTACCCATGTCAACGTTAAAACAATTCATTTTCAACAGAGCACGTGATTAAAACCCCTGAACAAACAGCTATGAATCATCCTGTTGTTTCTGAAGTTATTTAGAACATCATTTAGGAAGTCAAGGAGTTTGGATGTAGGTCAGCGGTGGACAGCATGTCCAGTAAGACCCTAGGTTTGATTCTCAGCACTGGGAAAGAGAAAGGTCAAGGGCCAGATGTGGTACAAGCCCAGCACTCAGAGATGCTGAGGCAAGAAGGTGTAAGACTGAGACTCTATTTCCAAAAGTAAAATCAAATCAAGCTTGATACCAACACCCATGATAGAACACCGTGTATCGTGTATCACTCAGTAACTCAACTTTTTACCAACTCACAGTGGCTTTTCAACTGGACCCCAGAGCCATCCTGGTTGGCTGGCTTCATTTGCATTTATTTATTTATTTTTGTGTCAGATTCTCTAGGCAATTTCTCTGTGGCCTTCCTATACCTTCATGCTTTACCCAGACCATCTGGCAAATCAAAGGCGTTTTTCTTTTGTTTTTTTTTTTTGGCATGTACTTTATAAAATCGATTGCTTTTGTGAACTTCTGCTGTGAATGCAGCAGCAGAGCCCTCAGGAGGCTGCTACTGTGGAGGTGAGAACGCCAGAATAAGGGTCTGATTTCTCGGTTCAGCTTGGCGCTCATGTCACAGGACACTGGGCAGGTTACTCTGCCTTTGAGCCTTATTCTCTATAGAACTTGGGTTAGATGTGTCTTCCACCTGCAGACTTGGGGGGGTGGGTAGTAGAAGGTATTCTGGGTATCTGTACTCCCCTCTCCCCATGCTCTGCTCCACGGTCTGTAGGGGAGCGAGTGCACTGGCTACTTCCTCCCCAGAAAGTCACACCGAAAAG